TCAGTGCAGGCTATCTTAGAATTATTGATTATAGCACACTATCCATACACTCAATGGTATTTTGCTTTTACAAGAATTCATATAATTTAGAGATGACACATCACTGTGGGAGGCCAGGACAAAAAAGTGGTGCTCTAAACCATGCCTGATGAACTTAAGATGAATTTTGTCAACTTCCCATAATTGTATAAAGAAGTACTAGCAGTACCTTGTATTATGTATCAAAGGCTATTAGGATGAATATTATTTAAGTTATTTTTGGTTTGTCAGTCACTGTGGAAAAATGGTTTCACTTCTTGTTTAACTATCAGTAGTATAATATTAGCAAGGTTCTAATTACCCATGACTTCTCTTTAGCCAGACAGTAATTATTTTTTTCTGGTATACAAAATTTTACAAACTCAAAATGCTTTAGTAGTGTAGTCAGTTTTTAATATATTCAATTACTGTAGGAGCCACCAACATACATCATCTCTGAGAACAAGAACAAATTTATCATATGATAAAGACTAAGAGAACATATGAAACGTATAAAAAACAAACTAATGGCTAGGTTAATTCCAATGTTTAATAAGCTTAAAGATACACATTTGCAGAACATATCACTGGGCCATAAAATCCCAAGACTTAAACATAAGACCTGAAACAATAAATTACATAGAAGAAAACATAAGTACTAAACCTGTGAACCTTGCTCTTAGACATGATTTTAAATTTGACCCCAAGGTGAGGAAAGTAAAGGCAAAAATAAATGAATTGAATATATCACGGGTGCCAAACATAAGGCCTATGGGTCGAATCTGGCCCTCTACCTTGTTTTATCTGGACCAGCACTTTGTTTCTACCTGGCGGCAGCACCGTGCTCTTCCTTAACAGTTAAGGAGTAGTTACATTTATACAGCCCTAAAATTACATTCGGCCCTCTGAAGGCAACCACGGGGCTGATGTGGCCCCTGGTGAAAATGAGTTTGACACCCCTGGACTATATCAAATCAAAGAGGTCTGCACAGCAAAAGAGACCACCAGTAAAACAAAAAGGCAACCAACCAAATGGGAGAAGACATTTTCAAACAACAGCTCTGACAAGGGGTTAATATACAAAATATATAAAGAACTCATACAACTCAACATCAGACAAACAATCCAATTAAAAAATGGACAGAGGACTTGAACAGACACTTCTTCCAAGGAGGCATACAAATGGCCAACCTGACACCAAGGGTGAAGTGTGGCAAACTCTCAGAGGCTATGGGGTTCGAGGGGCAGGGATTCCTGGCTTTGTTTCTCTGTCTGAAATGCCAGCTGCCTGACCACTGTGGACACACTCCCCTGCTGTGTCCTTGCCCAGTTCCCTGGGCTCAGCCACAGCTCATACTGCTCACTCCTGCAGTAACACCCACCATATCTTTTTATTTTTTTAACTTTTAGATTTGTTTTTATTAGTGTAGTGATTAGGCAGATCTGTGGAAAACGGGCACTTTGCAATTTCTTAATTATCTAAACATGTATTTTTATTGTTATTCAGTTGCAGTTGTCCCCATTTCCTCCCATTACTCTCCCCTACCCTACCCACCCCCCACCTCCCACATTCAATCCCCGCCCACAACCCTGGTGTGTTTGTCCATGGGTCCTTTATACATGTTCTTTCACAACCCTTCCCCTTCACATCTTTGCTTCTTCTGGCTGAGGGGAGTACCAGCCACAACCCGTTTCCTCCCCTCTGTGGCTGAGTCCCTGGTGAGCCCCCCACTGCTGGGCTATGTCCTTGGTTCCTCTCAGCCCTTCTCTTTTCTCATCTCTCTTGTTTGTTTTCACTTGCCCACCTTTAGATATTTCAATGTGTGGATCTCTAAGGCATGTTTGTGGGTTGAACAGAGAATCCTTTGTTGAGTCCTAGCTATTTAAATTGGTGAAACTGCAAGGGCTAAGACCAAGGAGATCTCTCATGCCACCATTCCTCTAATGTCATTCCTTCATGTAGTTTACTTTTATATATGCTATAAGGATATCAACTTAATCGCAATTTATTTAAAGACTGGCCTTCCCTTACTGCTATGAATCAGTTTTGGTCATTAACCAAGTAAACATTTATGAGTTTTTTTTACTCTAATGTCACTATCTTAATTACTATAGATTTCTAATAACTCATGGAATATAATATTATATATTTTCCAGCATTATTGTTCCAGTCCATGATTATCTTGGGTAATTTTGGCCCTTTGCATTTGAGTAAGGATATCTGGTCTGTTTTTTCAGTTTCTGCCAACAAAAAGATTGAAGACATTGCATTAAAGTTTTAGATAAAATTTGAATTTAGATAAAATGGAGGTATTTGCTTCCATTTTTTATTTCTTTTAATTTCTCTCAAAAGTATTTCCTAGTATTCAGCATAAAGGTCTCTCAGTGGTAAACTTTAAAATTTTATTGCTTTTTAAAAAATTTCTTTATGGTATTTTAAATAATATACTTAAAAATTTGGTTTATTATTCAGATTTTAAAATGCACTAGATATTTTTATTTTGACTTTTTTTTACAGCAATCTTGTTGAATTCAGTGATTAATTCCATTAGTGTTTCTTTAGATCAATGTTACCTATTAGAAATATAATGTGAACCACATATGGTTATATTTTTTAGTTACATTTATATAATAAAAAGAAAGAGGTGAGATTAATTTATACATTTTGAGTTAATATAACCAATATAGTATTATTTCAACATGTAATCTATATAAAATTATTATTGAATACTTTAATTTTTGTGTTTATGTGCTTATGTATGGGTACATATGCATATGTATAAGGATATGTATATCCTTATATGAATAAGGATAGAAAGGGAGAGACATCACAGGAATTGGTTCACACAATAATGGAGGCTTTGTCATGGAGCTGAACACATTCTCATTAAGCCCAGGAGTCAGAAAAACTGAAGATGCAGGAAGAAGGAAGAGCAATTGCAGACCCAAGTGCTCCTTCACTCCATTGAGACAAGTCAGCAGATCGGCAATTAAGTTAATGCTGTAATGGGTTATGATTTTATGGATGTTGGAATGGAGTGTATGTACTTTGCTTAGGAGATGAATGTGATGAATCTTTGGTGATCAGGTGGTGAAATATGCTGGAATAACCCTTAAAGGTTCCCACGTCCAAATACTCATAACTTGTGAATGTGTTACTTTACATGACAAAAAGGACTTTGAAGATTTGACCAATTAAGGACCTTGAGAGGGAGAGATATCTTGTATTATCTGAGTGGGCCCAATGCAATCACAAGGGTCCTTAGAGGGAGGCAGGCAGGTTAGAGTCAAAAGCCATGTGACAGTGATATTTGAAGATGCCATTCTGTTGGTTTTGAAGATGGAGAAAGAATCCATGAGCCAAGGAATGCAGATGGTTTCTATAAATTGGAAAGTCAGGGATATGGACTTTCTCTGGAGCTTCCAGGCAAATGAAAAACTTCCAAAATCGTCACTTTAGTCCAGTGCAGCCTCTCTTGGACTTTTGACCTCCAGAACTGTAAAATAATACAAGCCACTAAGTTTATGTTACTTTTTATAACAGAAATAGGATAATTAATATAATACTGAATCAATTCTGAGTACCTTGTGATGAATAAATTTCTTGAATAGATTTTAAGATGCCCTGCCAAACAGACTGCAATGTTTCTGAAGAGAGTAATTTTGCCATCACAGCACATATAGGTCCAATACATTGGCCATTTGGGCAAAATAATTTCCATGAAGACATTTGTAGCAACCTCAGCAGCATTTGGCTGACATGAGGTCAAGATCCAAGTCTTAAAAGACTGAAAGTAGGGATTGTTAATGTGGGAAAGACATAAATACACAAAGGAACGCTGTAGGAGAGAATCAATGTTCTGAAGGAACGTTCAAAGGAGCGGCTAATGATTTTCAGCCAGTGAGTCAGGGATATGATAGATCTAGCAATCAGAGTAGAAGCTACAGGCCTGAGGGAAGTTGAAAGCATATCATTGTTCAAAAGTTTGTCTTGAGCAAAAGGTTTCTACCACCTCTAATGCCAACAAGCCTCAGAATAAGGTTTCCTGAATGAATGGGTATCCAGTCCTTAGATTAAGGGCAGTGGTGGAAATCTGGACCAAGTCACCAAAGTGTTCTGAGTTACATTCACTTATATTGTTTTTCTTCTGACTAGTGGAGTTTTTGAATTGCATATTATTAATATACAAGTGCTTACAAATAAGGGAAATTAACAGAAGAACACCTTAACCAAAATATATACATGGAAATATAAAATAAACCAGAATGTACATATATGTTAAATTTTCAACTCATTATTAATAAAAATAATAAATTGAAATAGACACAAATGCTTAATTATCTTGTCTATAAACTTTAGCAAATTTTAAATATTACTCTCGGTCTAGTAAAACTTCAATTGTGCACTGCATAGACTACTGTGTATAAAAAAGTATAGCATTATAAACAGCAGTTACTATCTTTGTACTCCATTGACTCCAATAACTTTTTGAATTAATTTTTAATGTAAACTTGTAGAGCTAAGAAATAATAACAGTAATATTTGAAACATTTTTTATTATACTAAAATATTATAATTTAGAAACTTGTACTTTGTGACAATCATAACTTATTATATATCCCCCAAATTATTTCTTGAGACTTGATCATGTGGAAAAGTACTTATGATGTAGTCAATGAAAAAAATCTAAAAATTCATTGTGCATATGTTTGCAAAACCAAAGAGGGTTGAAAGGAATTGCATTAAATTATTAACAGTTCAAATTCTTGAGCATGAAATCATGAATAATTTATTAGCATTGTTTTCTATATTGAAAATATATTAAATTTAAATGAAGCAGTGTATTTAGTGTATACTAAATACAAATATAAAATTATACTGTAATTGTAATTAACTGAGAGACAATCTTTAGTATATTTTGAAAAAATTATTTATTTGATTAAAAATTCCTATTATTTAACTTGATTGAATTTGCTTTTAGACCTGCACCTTTAAAAAGTGCTGTGATCCTGCTTCTTGTACACTGATTGGAACTGCAGAATGTGGCAGTGGACCATGCTGTGATAAAAATTCTTGTTTGGTAAACTTTCAAAATATTACATTATTTTCCTCTATGGATTTCTCTATGTTCTTATGCATTCATTGCATTTTAATTTTTAAAAAACTTGTTTTTATACACCTTTCAAATGTTTTTTTATGTACTGAATTCATACACAGTGGATTTAGAATTTAAATGATGCCCTTAGTTCTTTTTCTGCCTACTTTTCAACTCCATCAATCACTGTATTGTCTCATTTCTACTCAAGATCCATCTAGTTATTGCATCTAATACCAATTCCAGATTATTGGGGTACTATCAGTTCTTGTTCAGGCCTGAATGAAGCTCTTCATCATGAAACATGACAAAATTATAAATGAGCCATCCAACACACATGTGACATGCAATGCTCAAATAAATGGCAGTAATTTTTAAAACTCTAACTTTGAAAATAACATAAAAAGAATTCATGTGGAATAGCATATAAAATAATGAAGTTTAGTTTGGCAAGGACTTCTATCCTAGAAATGGATTGAATCTTCGACTTTCCTTGGGGAGTTTTTTTTTGTTTTTAATTATTTTTTTGTTGTTCAATTTATAGTTGTCTGCATTTTTCCTACCACCACCCCCCCAAACCCCAGCCAAACCCACCTCCCTCCCTTGCTTCCATCTTCCCCCTTGGTTTTGTCCATGTGTCCTTTATAGTAGTTCTTAGAAACACTTGCCCCCATTATCTCTTCCCCCCTCCCCTCTGGTTATTGTTAGATTGTTCTTAATTTCAATGTCTCTGGTTATATTTTGTTTGCTTTTTTTCTTTTGTTGATTATGTCCCAGTTAAAGGTGAGATCATATGGTATTTGTCCATCACCACCTGGCTTATGTCACTTAGCATAAAGCACTCGATAAGGTACAGAACACATTTATAATAACAACACTCAGAAAAGTGGGAATAGAGGGAGCATTCCTCAACATAATAAAGGCCATATATGAGAGACCTACAGCCAACATCATACTCAATGGGCAAAAACTTAGAGCTTTCCCACTAAGATCAGGAATAAGAGAAGGGTGTCTGCTTTCACCACTCCTATTCAACATAGTATTGGAAGTCTTAGCCATAGCTATCAGAAAAGAAAAAGAAATAAAAGACATTCAAATTGGAAAGGAGGAAGCAAAACTGTCATTGTTTGCAGATGATATGATAGTGTACATAGAAAATCCTATAGACTCCACCAAAAAAACTACTTGACCTAATAAGTGAATTTGGCAAAACAGTGGGATACAAAGTCAATATCCTTGGGGAGTTTTTTGTTCAGCTTTACTCTATAGCCACATCTGAGAGGAGATTGGTTAGAATTTGTCTTCTGGGGATTGCATTATTATAGCACTTCATTTTGAGTCACTTTCAGAAGTCTATGACAAATATAAAAGCTAATCAATCAGAGATTTTGCTTGTCAGATTTATTTTTCTTTCTGTCAATGAACTTTCTCCCAACATTATTCTACTTTGTCCTGTATGTGTTCTTTATTACCTTATGGATTAGTAATTAGAGCCAATGGCCATTTGTTTTCAAGGCACATGAATGTAGAGGCCAGTATAGTATTTCTACTTCTTAGCAGTAAATCTTCTTGTGTTTTCCCTCTTCAGAGCCCTCATCTTGACCTTTGTCTCCAAATCAGTGGCATTGATCAGTAAGACATTTCTAAACAGTACATTGTCCTTTACCTATATCCCATAGGATAGTTCTAAAATGGTTCTTTAAAGTGATTATCTAATCACTGCATTTGGTTGAGTGAAAATTCACAGTAAAAGTTGCAAAGGAGGGCTTCAGAGCAACAGCTAAGTATACAATGTTAGTTTACATTAATATTATTATGTGTTATAGCATGGAATTTGGCATTTGACATCATTTAAGGCTGACAAGTATCTTATACTCTGCTTTCTTTCATTATTGGCCATAAGCGTAAAAGGCTTCCTGTTTTCTTTTCTGTCTACTTCTAAATAGGCTAGTTCCCACTAACTCTTTTCCAAAGTTTAACAATTTGACCCAATATTTGAAAAATAACATTTCTATTTAGATAGACACAAATCCAAGTACAAAGATACGGAAGACAAAGTTTAACCAGTGTTTCGCTGAAACATAACTGAATAACTTGTTTTTAACTAGTATTCAGACATTTCTACCTGCACTTTAAGAAATTGTAATTGGGCCCTGGCTGGTGACTCAGTGGATTGAGCACCTCCCTGTGAACCAAGAGTTTGCTGATTCAATTCTTGGTCACAGCACATGCCTGGGTTTCGGGCCATGTCCCCAGTTGGGGGACATGTGAGAGGCAACCGACCCATGTTTCTCTTGCTCATTGATGTTTCTCTTTCTCCCTCCTTTCCCCAATCTCTAAAAATAAATAAACCAAATCTTTAAAAAATTGTAATTGATACTGTATAATACCAATTATGTATTGGTCAGTTGTGTTTTTTCTTGAATTTGTGCAAAATGATATTTATTATGAATTTTTTATACATATACTTGATATATGTAAAATATATTTAAAGATATGACAGTTCCAACTATATGCAGATTTTAGACTCAAGCCTACTAAAATTTGAAGTAAAGCTAGTTCCTGATATTATTTCATACCTTAGATATGCTATAATTTTAAAGGCACAGTGGAACAACAAAGGTGAAACCTTCTAGATATATAGATTTTGTTATTAAAATGCCAAGTGACTGAAATATCATTTGACATTATGTGACTTCACTTTTTAGAAGAATAAGTGGAAGTGTTCTTTTTTCTAAACAGTAGTTAAAAATTAAAATATCAAAACAATATAGATTTGGCTGGATTACAAAAGTAATCCATAGCTCATACTTACCACTTCAGTCTTCATTTTATTTTTATTACTTTTTTGGCCAGAGTTTACATCAATAGTATTCCATACTACAAGAAACAGCCAGACAACCATACATTGTAATGAGTGGTCACCCTGCTGCCGCAAGCACCCATGTGGCTCCATACCCAGTTATCTTGACACTATTGACTATATTCCCCATGCTGCAAACTACTTTCTATGGCTATTCTGCAACTACCAAGTTGTACTGCTTAATCCCTTCACCTTTTTCACTCTACCTCCTAGACCCTCTTCCCTCTGACAGCCATCAATCTGTTCTCTGTATTCATGAGTCTGTTTCTATTTTGCTCTTTAAAACTTGTTTATTAGATTCTATACATAAGTGAAATCATATAGTATTTGTCTTTCTCTGACTGGCTTATTTTACTAAGCATAATACCCTCTAGGGCCATTCATAATGTTGTAAGACGTTGTATCTTGATAATGGCCAATCAAAGGAAAACAAATGCTTAAGAAGTTTAAGTAAAAGATGAGTCTAACTTCATGCTCAGGTGAATCTACATTTGAAACAGAAAAAAGAGAATTCTTTTTTAAAAGATTTTATTTATTTATTTTTAGAGAGGGAAAGGAGGGAGAAAGGGAGAGAGAGAGAAACATCAATGTGCGGTTGCTGGGGGCTGTGCCCTGCAACCCAGGCATGTGCCCTGACTGGGAATCGAACCTGCGACATTTTGTTTCGCAGCCCGCACTCAATCCACTGAGCTATGCCAGCCAGGGTGAAAAAAAGAGAATTCTTATTCTATACATCTATTGAGTGTCCTTGCATTTTTGTGGACATGTCTCAAACAAAGTTCCTCTATATGTAATATAGATAGCTCATGGCACTTCCTGGCTTTTCTAGTCCATAGAACAATATTTCAAGAGTAGAGAGATCATTTCTTTCCCAACAACTGCCTCAATGCTCAGCGCTGGAGGAAACCATGACTGATCTGGCTAAGTTAAGTTTCTCACCACTGTTCCATTCACTGTGTCTAGGGAGAAGTGTTCTGATGGTCATCCTGAGTCAGAAGCAGATTCATGACTTATAACCCCCTCATGGCAGAGGTGGAGTAGGCCCTGGAAGAAAATTACTTGAAATGAAAAAGATGTGCATTAAGTAGTATTTTAGAAATATATTAAAGACTGGCGTCTGAGTTAGTACTGCATTTCAGGAGTGCAATTAGTCCCTAAGAATCAACAGTTGAAAAACATGCATTGCTTGACATCAGATATTTTCTTTTTATCTTGAAGTAAATATGTAATATAACCATAGCATTATAACTATGAGAGCTTTCATTAGAGCCTTTTTAAAAAGTTGAGGTAAAAATCACATAAGGTAAAATGAACTATTTTTAAGTGAAAAATTCAGTGACATTTAGTACATTCACAATGCTGTGCAGCTACCACCTCTATCTAGTTCCAAAACAAGCCCGTGATCCAAACAGAAAACCCATAACCAATTAAACACTTGCTATCCTTTTCTCTTTCCTGTCAGGCTCTGGCAACCACCAATCTGCATTCAGTCATTATGGGTTTACGTATTCTGGATATTTCATATAAGTAGAACCATACAATATGTGATGTTTAGTGGCAGATGTTATTTTTAATACAGTATTTTCAAAGATTATTCACCTTTAGCATATGTCAGTCTTCCATTCTTATATATGGATGGAAATATTTCATTTCATGTATATACCACAGTTTCTCTATTCATTCATTGATGGACATTTGGGTTCTTTCCAATCTATTTCTCTAGAACTTTTAAGTAAATTTATAATGATATTTAAGTAGTTAAAATGTAATAGAATCCAAATGATGATTACCAACACAATGCTCTTATTTAATCATTTTACATTTTTGGTTTACTTCTTTAATATTTGTTTCAGAAATATCAAAAAAGAAATCAATAGTGTCCTTTGTCTCAAACAGTTAGGTGCAATCATGAAATCAGAGCAACAGCCTTGTGAAAAGACTTCATCCTAGAACCTCTACTTTGGTAACAGCACCCACTTACTCTATCCGTGCAAACCAGTTTCAGTTTCCCATTGTTCTCACACTGGAAGTTCCTAGGAACAATGAGAGAGCTCAACACTATGTTAAAGGCACTGCAACATTTTCCGATTACAAAAAAAATATGCTAACTTGTGTGTTTAACATTTCCTCATCTTTCAGAAAATTACATACATACTTGCCAGCGAATTTCATGTTGGGTATGAGTACATGATCTGATGCCATTTTGTTCATGTCCACTTAGATTTCACAATAGGTCAGCGTATAGTAAATTATTTCAAAAGAAGGGTGCTATGCTCCCTTCTGGCTATGTGGATAATATGCACAGTGACTCTGCTTAATGTTAATAGCGTCAGTCAGGAATCTGAGTTATACCACTCCAGTACTGAACTAATATGTGAGCTTTGATAAGTCATTTAATCTCTCATCAATCTTACCTCTAATGACTGCTTATCTAAATTATAATAACAGATAATAATATCTTGCTTGGAGTAGTGTGGTAAGACTTAATTGTAGTGTGAAGCACTTTAAAGTCTTTGGATAAAGTGTCTTACGAAAATATATATTTGTTTCTCTTTTTACCACAGATTCGTCCTAAAGGAACAATATGTCGGATAAGCACAGATCCATGTGATTTTTCAGAATATTGCAGTGGAATGTCTGAGTTTTGTGTGCCAGATATGAAAGCCGCTGACTTAGAGCCATGTAGTAATAAGACCACCTATTGCTTTGGTGGAAAATGCCAAGAGCCAGACAGATATTGTATGGAGTTATTTGGAAAATGTAATAGCTGTATATTTTTTCTGGGGTTTATTTTTAAACTGTATTTCTAAAGTCAGTAATCCTCCCTATAAGCCACACTGAAAGACACTGTTTATTCAAGTCCAAATTTGAAAATAAAATTGCAAATCAAAGCACTTTGAATTATGTTGAGGCAAAATAGGCTTAATAATTATAGGACAAAGAGAATAGAACATTAGTAAAATTTTAGGTGATAGATGCAAAGGAAATAGATTATTAGAATTGTAGATAAAAGAGAAAATGACTGATTTCTTCACCATTTCTGCAGAATACCAATTTTTCTCTTCTGAAGTTGGTAGTTTTTAAGGAGTGTTTCTCCTTCTCAAATAGCCAGTAGATGATATAAAAAATTTGTAGCAGACAGCACTGACCAGACATTGCTGCTGTCTAGATACCTCTGTATGAATTTACCACACTCTTAGTTTTAATTGTTTTTTTTTTAAGATGAATAACTGGAACTTTATGTTTTCAGTTGCTAAAGGTGGTGATTATCTATGTTTACAAGAAGTGAATATTCATGGAGATTCGTTTGGAAACTGTCGAGGGATGTGTGAATTTGGGTTTGTATTTAGAAAACTATCCATTTTCTGAATGCGTGTGTATTTTTTGTGTATGTTTTCTGCAATGAGTCACTAAATTCAAATGAGAGGTGAATATAATACATACAGATGAATTTATATGTAGCATTTCATAAAATGGTGTATGTTCTGAATAGCTTTACTGATATAGTCTGAGTAACATTTTGAATTATCCTCATATTTTGAATTGTTATTTACCTAATACATTGTGTCCTGAATTGACATATGGAAAATTTTCTCTGCTTTATATTGCCAGAAATACCCTTTGTGGAAAGCTAGTCTGTCACTGGATGCATACACATATAGTGATACCATTGGGAGCTTATGATATGCAATATACTTACTATGCAGGTCATGTGTGTATATCAGCAAATATGAGAAATCCTGCTCCTGAAACGAAAACATATGTAGGTGATGGCACTGCATGTGGTTATGAGATGGTAAATATAAATTTTACTTGATTCTATTTAGTGTGTGTGTGTGCATGAGAGAGAGTAAAATGTCAAGAGTTCTGTTAGTCAAAGGAACACTTGCTTTCCTATCACTTTTATTATAAATTTTGCTATAGATATTTAAATTTGTTTTCTCACACTTGAGAATCTAAGCCTCTTCATTAGGCTAAGATTTGGTCTGCTATAATTTGTGTAACCAAAAAAAGAAAAAATCAAATAACACACTGAAAAAGTAGAATAGGACAATCTGAATAATAAGAACAACAACAAATAAACAAAAACAAAACCCCCGAATCCCCAAGTGTTTAGTCTTGTAGTAATTGATGAGAACTAATTTGGCTGTAACAAAAGTAAAACATTTACTTATCAGCCTATTCTCCTCATTCTTTCTCCAAAAGCATAGTATGCTTGTTAAAATATTGGCCCTCTTACAAAGAACAATAATATAACAGAGTCTGTTTTGTTTAATGACTTTTGTTAAGTTTAAGTAATATTATATGCAAATGATTTTTAAACTATTACCACCAAAATAGTTGACTAAAAATGTACATAATTATCTTACATTTCAATTAAAATAATTTACATTGAGAAACAGCATTTTGAGAAGTGAAAAATAAGAAAAAGGAAGTGAGTGAGCTTATTTTAGAATGGGAAAGACATTTTCAAATAAAAATAATAATCACAAAGGAACATTTTGGTATTGACTACATTGTCAACAAAGAATGCTTAGCCTAAGAAAAAATCTTATAAGAATTTATTTGAGGCAAACTGACAACAATTGCTGGGAAGTAAAATCTCAATGGATTGGTAAAATGCTTTGGAGAACAGTACATTTACTGCTTATTTTATACCTGAGAATCACAGGAGAAGTGGTAGGGGTGGTGGTATCCATTGGTGGTAGATTAGGGAGGCTGGAAAAAGCAAAGGGAGGAAATCTCTGAGACTGAATAAAACGGGAAACAAATAGACACATACTGGCTTTGCATTGGTGGGTACAGGATAGTTAACATTGAATATTTACAGCACATAGAGGTGGTATGTGGAAGAACAAGATACTATTGAAGGGTTTTGTGGTCACATTCTCTGGTGCAGTGGTTGTTGTTATTCTGACTTTGCATGGGTATGTTATCTTAGATGCAAAAGGACCACTTATAGGCTCAGTTAAGATAAAGACTGACTTTTGTCTAGGAAGATGACACTTAGGGGCCTACAACATGACTACCTACCATGACTGGCCCTTAGTTAGGAAGTTTTAATTGTAGACCATCTTATGTGGTTACTTTTGGTCTCCAAGTGTATAAGACCCACATTCCAGACCTTCCCTGAGCTTGTCAGGTTTAGTATGTGGCCTTTCTTTCTTTGTCCACAGCATTATAAAGTAATATGTCTTCCCTTCCAAGATAATTTACAACAAAGTGAAAATTGTATACAACAAATATGACAGAGTAAATACATAAATTTATTAACTAATTTAACTGTTCATTATTTAGAAAAAAGCAGTAAAATGGTATACACACATATGCACACACTTACATGTATGTGCACATATATGTAGATATGTATATATGTGCATATGTATATATAAGTTTGGTATCATAATAGTTATTATTAATAGTATATTATAATTATTTTGATATTATACTCTATGTATATAGTATATAGTGTGTGTGTATAGTATAATACCAAAAATAATTTGGGCTCGGTCCATGGTTCTGGCACAGAGCTCCTAAAGCCCTTGGAATTTCCTGAGTGATAACAATGTTTTCTGTTATTCATCTCCTCCCAACCAAACCAATGAAATGATTTTCATCAGGCCTCTACATAGCTTCAGGATAGGGCTGGTCACTAGAGCGACCAAATGATTAGAGGTTTGGAACATTTAATCCCACCTCCCAAGCCTCACAGAACAGAACTCCATGCTGGAGAGTGGTATGGCTGAAGAGTGAACTCTACAGAAACTTTTGAGCAGTGAGATTCAGAGAGTTTCTAAGTTGATGTACTCATTGACTTGCTGTGCTGATGATGTACCTGGAGAGGACATGGAAGCTAATGCCTCCACCCACCACCCCAATACATTGTCTTATAAATGTCTTCCATTTGGATGTTCCTGAGTTGTTCCTGAGTTCCTTTTATGGGTGGGTGCTATATCCTAAAGTGGGTGCTAGAATTTCCTGAGTAGCCTATTACAAAGGCTACAGCCTTTGTAATAAACTAATAAACATAACTAAAGTATTTTCTAGAGTTGTGTGAGAAAATGAGCAAATGTAAGAAGTCAAATATCATACTTTTTTAAAATGTAATAATGTGAAAGTAATTTTTGGCTATTAGGAAATATACATTGGTATAGGGCAATTATGATGTAAGTTATAACAGGAAAACATCAAAACTTGTGAAATGATGATAATAGGTTGGTCAGATCAATTACAGTATATCCAACACTGCATCCCTTTCTAAAATAATATTTTAAAATAATTTTTAATGGCATGGAAGTATATTTGCAAAATTATGGCAAGTGATAGATACATCAGGGAAAAACATGCATTTCTGACATTTGGATTGCACATAGAAATTCTTTGGGTTGCGTTTTTTACAAAAGCACAAGTTATGTCTTTGGCCTAAGATCTTCCTGGTCATCTCTAAGTCAAGATTGTAGCAACCCTGTGATTTTATGTCTTAGTTATTATAGCTTTATAACAGGTAAAAAAGTAAAGGTTTTCGAAGAAGCCCCAGCATCCAGATAACATTCAAAAGCTAGGATGATCTAACAAAAAATATGCAAGACAACCTCCACATCGAAAACTGCAAAACATTATTAGAGAATCAAAGATCTACATAAATGTCAATATCCTAAAAAATCAATGAGTATTTATGATATCAAACACCAAAATCCCAGAAGCAACATTTTTTTTTTTGGAGGGAGAGGCAATGTGTCGCTGGGGAAAATTGAAAGACTGATTTGAAGGTTTATATGGAAATGCAAAAGGCTACAAATACAAAATAGCTAATGTAATTTTAAAGAAGAAAATGGAAAGCAGACATTTACACTACTAAATATAAAATTAAAGTAATTAAAACAATGCAATATTGGTACATGGATATATAAACTGACCTATAGACTAAAATAGAAAATATTATTTTGGAGAAGTTGGAGATTAAAATGTTTTAATAAAGTCCTCAGAGAAAAATTAGGTGTTGAGCCTGGCACAATTAAAGGTTTCTTAAATGATATACATGAATAATATATAAAGGAAAACATAAGTGTATTACATTATGATTAAAAACTACTAAATAGAGATTTAAGGTTATAGAAGGACAGACTAGATATGCTTTTCCCTTTTCTTTCTATTGTATATAGTTTAAAAACCTAGGTGTTATATAAAAAGCAAACTAAGAATACTTTGAAAGCTGGAAACAGAAAGGCAGACCAGCCAGGGACCTCATATATCCTAAAGTGGGTGCTAGAGAAGTCAGCAACTCAGAAATACCAAATGGCATAGACAAAAGGAAGCCCTCAAGGTAAGCCTAACTTCTTTAGCCAAAGGAATAACCTGGCAATGCAGTACACTCTTAAACAACAACTACTCTATTTCTGCCAAACAACACAGAAAAAAATGTGACCACACTTCCACTCTCACCAGAATGGTATGAGCAGAAGGTTAGTGGAGAGGCTTTTATTTCCTGATCCTTACAGTAATTGGGGACCTTTACATTGTGGGTGTGAATAATCCTGTATTTCTAGCCTTCCCTGGCAATAATGAAGCAGTGTCCCTTTCCCCTATTCTAGAGCTCTGAGGAGAACTGGTAAAAGAGGTTTAAGCAGGATTCAAAATCTCATAACATAATATTCAAAATATACAGATTTTAATCGAAGTCACTCAATCCCAAGGACCAGCAAAGATCTCAACTTAAAAGAGAAAAAGAATCAACTAACACTAGCACCAAATGACACGGATGTTAAAAACACCCTTCAAAGAATCTAAAGCAGCCATTATTCTGTAAACATGCCTACATGTGCCCTTTCCTGTGTATAAAACTCAGTGATGGTCCCAGGAGCAGAATGATGGGGACAAGAGAAGAAATTAGTGAAGCTGAAGACAGAACCCCTCCAAATAGTCAATTTGAGCATTAGAATAAAAAAATAAATAGAGCTTCAAGGACATGTGGAGATACAAGAAAAGATATAATATCCTTGGTATTGCTATCCTAGATAATAGGAGAAAGGACTTAAAGATAGAAAAGTATTTGGGGAAATAATGCCTGGAGAGTTTCCAAATTTGTCAAAAGGCATAAACCTACAGATGAAAGAAGCTGAAAGAACATCGTATAAGAAGAACCCAGTGAAATCCATAGTAGGATACAACATAATAAAATTTCTGAAAATTAAAGACGAAGAAATAGGACCTTAAAAGTAGTGAGAGTGAAATAATACATTATGTATAAGAGAAACAGTTACAATAATGGAAATAAAACCATCTAGGAACTAGACATACAAATACTACAGAAGACTGCCATCCTAGTTAACTAGTCTTCTATCATCTTATATAATTATGGGATTCACCTAATGTTCTGTGGGAAATGAGCCATGCATTTGAAAGTCCCCTGGTTTGTCATACCAGGCCTGTATGGCTTTATAGAGTACTCATCTATACAGCAGTGATTCTCTGCCTGGGAAAGTCTTGATCATTAGCCCATGCTCAGCTGGGTAATTCCCCCATGGAGGGAAAAGAAGGAAAGAAGAGAGAAAAGGAAATATAAAGAAAGGAAAAAGAGGGAAAGGGAAGGGAGGGAGAAAGAGAGAGAGGGAGGAAGACGGACTTTTCCTGCTTTGCTCAGTAGGAGCTTTAAGCTGCCATGCTTTTTCACTCCCACACCATTTTTAATAAAAAATACCTAACTGGCAGCTTTCCCTGTGTGACTGGGGTTTGTCACATGACAGTCTTCATTTTAGAAGCTGAATCTTAGGCTGTGGCACTTACAATACTTTACTT